TAACAAAAATCCCTGAATACAATATTTTAAAATGTTTTAAATTATTAAATTAGGTTTTTCTAGAAAGGCTTATGTGAATAATTCCAGTGCACTGTGATTATCTACTCACTTTATTCCAAATATCTTTTCAGAATACGTAATATTGACTGTCTACTACTATGCCTTCTTGTACTTACTCTTTTGTAACTGTTTTCATCTGTTGGCTTTGTCTACTCTAATAGGCTTAAAACTCCTTGAGGATAGAAATCTTGTCAATTTCTCTCACGAAAGTGCCTACCACATTACTACATCTACACATGGAATCTGACAATATGAAGAGTCAGGGCTTTATTTGTGAAAAAAATTAGGTGGAAAGGGCACTTTCCTCCCTCAAACTAATGAAGTATAAAATTTTAGAAGCTTAGAGGTAACAGTAAATGATTACAATTTTTTTGTCTTTGTAGTTATAATTTTGAATTATTTTCCCAACAATGGTGGCTTTTAGATAGCAAATGTCCTTTTCTTAAGACTTGTTATTATTTTCAAATGTACTTCACAATTTCTCATAATCTTCAAAGTCAAATGTCACAAGATACCAAGATACGTTTAATGTTGAATAAAAATAAAGTGTCTAAAAATTATGACAAATACATGTTCGGTTGAACATTATCATTGTTAATAACAGAACACACTGAATCTTATATGCCACAGTACATTATAAAAAAACAAGTTTTCTTCTAATGAACCTCAAAGAATTATTTTTGAAAGATCACAATGCAAAATGTTTTAATAATTTTTCATTATTACTAATTAAAATTTTACTACTCAATGTATATCCATAAAGATAACACAAATATTACCATAATATCCTAGAGATTGCTACTCTGGAATGACATACACACTCACACATACACATACCCAAAGACATTCTGAAAAATGTATTCACAAATAAACCATGTTCTTACATTTGTCTTATCTAAATTTGAACACTTTGAGGAAACCTGAAGTATCCTGCAACATTTAACATTTAGGCAGGAAGCAGAAGTAAAAAGGACATATTAAATTCTAATTTTGATTGTAATAAAAACAAGATTAGAAACAGGTAGAATCTAGAGATGAAATAGAGCTGATGATTAATTTCCACAGGATGACTTAGCAAATGGAAAAAAAAAGTTCTAACAAAGAATGATAAAGGGGAATCCTTGTATTTTTCATATTCATCCTCTTTCTCCTCCAAGCTCCTAGATTTTTTCCATGCATTAATAATAAGAAATTCAAGTGGCTAACCTGAGTTTGTGATGGTTAAATTGCCATTTTGAGGAAGAAGACTTAGGGAGAATAGAAGCGAAAAAAAAAGGGGAACTCAGACATCTCTAATGGCAATAAGATTATTTTATGGCAATAAGATTATTTTATGACAAAAGATCTGTCCTTCAAATACTATGAAGTAGACTTTTGAAATTATTCTGACCAATAGTGATGAGAAGTTACAAAAGATTTCAGTCACTACCATAAGATCACAGATATATAAAATTTGCTATTTTTGCTATAAGGAGAACAAAGTATTATATGGCAATCTGTAGAAACATACCTACAGCTCTTACGCTGAGCTGCTCCTTATTTATTGATAAGTAAGAACCTTTACTTTAAATTTTACAGTGAAATAAGGACATATTTGACAATAGATTAGGAAAATAATATATTTAGAATTTCTAGATTATGGTATCTGGCACACAACAGACAACGATTATTATATAAATTTGTTAGCTTTAATTGCCTATTTATTCAGAAGTCACAAGTTTCCTCAGTTATGCAGGCTTTTAACCAACTAGATGCAAAAGATATTTTAATTTGATATAAGCTAAACAAGTTTTCTTGCTTGTGACAAATGTATACATATGTTCAGAGAGGTAAGAGAGAGCAAAAAGTGGAAGAGAGAAAAAACATGGAGTGTTACTAACAATAAGAAAAAAATCCCCTGACAATTTAAAGCTTATTGCTTTGACATTAACTATGTTATATAAACAATTACTTCCAACCACATAATTCATTTTTTTTCAAGCCTCATTCTATAAATTACCTGATCAATACTGAGTTTTTCTAATTTAGAGATGTTTCATGAGGGGAAAAGAAAAAAAAATCAATTTACATTTTAATTCACTAGATTCAGTAGAGCTTGCCAAGAAACCTCCCAAATAAAGGCAAGCATGGATGAAGAAATGCTTTTAGAAGAAAAACTTTAGAGAAATCTACAAATTCTAATCTACCTGTACAGTTATACTCACCAGAAAAGTTGATCCCACTGCCTGCAGTAAATGGAACAACAGAAGTATTTTTAACTTTACCACATATTTTGACGTTTACTCAAGATTTAGACATATAATGAAAACACGGCAATCTTGGCTACTATATAGTATTTTTAACTATTACAAAAATATGCAAGTGCTGAATAAAGAAATGTAAGCAGTAGATTATTTCAAATTAAAACTTCATATGGTTTTCAACAGGGGATGGCTAAGAGATACACAAAGATAAAGATTTTTTTTGAACTTCAGGAAAAGAACATTAAAATATTAATGAAACTTGTCTTTGATATAATGACAAGGAATTTTTTGGTAAGTTCAATTTCCTTTGATTACTAAAAAATCACTAAAAAAGATTAAATAGGGAGTACGTTGTCACAATTTGTACATTTATGGTAAACTGTGTTGGTATAATGACATTTACCATACATATTAAAATAAAAATTGAGATAGTTCAGATATTTGTAACAGTTTTAAATTTTTAAATTCTGGAATAATCAATTGTTTAAAAAAATCAAATTTCGTAATTCTAAGCCTCCTGAATTATATCAAATTTACGAACGAAACTTTATCAACTTACTTGGTTTGTAGAATATATTAAATGTATCAATTGATCTTACCATCTTTTCCATCTATGGATTTTGACACTTCAATATCAAAAATTTCCTGCATCTGCTGGCCCCTAAAACACTTGAGATGTTCTTGCTCAATTAAATTACTTTCTTCTTCTTCTAGAGGCTGCCAAGTGCCATCAATAAACCATTGTCCACGCATTACTGGTATTTTATCAGCCTCTGAAAAGAGAAATCACAGAATTATACATTTTAAGACTCAACCTCCCCAAAAAGAGACATAGTATCTACAATCTTATATTTTGCTACTGCTGTCACAAAAACAGATTTTCATGACCCAATACAATCATCTGAAGTTTTTTTTATTATTTATTTATTTTGAGATATGTTTCTTGCTCTGTTGCCCAGGATAGAGCGCAGTGGTGTGACCACAGCTCACCGCAGCCTTGACCTTCTGGGTTAATTTTTACATTATTCTGGTAGAGATGTGGTTTTGCCATGTTGTCCAGGCTGGTCTCAAACTCCTGGGCTCCAGAGTTGCGCCCACCTTGGCCTCCCAAAGTGCTGGGATTACAGGTATGATATCCTGCACCTGGCCCATTTAAAGTTTTAAAATCCAGATTTTAAGCCAGAGTGTATCATATTCTACAGCATATACTTTTACTTATATTAAATATTACACCTAAAAATCACTTTCGCATTAGATGGGCATCTATGTATATAACTGACACCCTGAGCAGCCAAAATTAGTAGGCTAAGGAAAACCAGTTTCATGCAAGACTCTGGTGATAGTTGCAATGTCTTAGAAAATATTAATATAAATTCCAGAAATACTGTTTAGAAATAGTGTGTGGCAGTAGTGTGTTGCACTTTTTAGAGCTCCCTTGGAGACTAGAGGCTCCTAACTGGCATACAGGAAATGAAAGTATTATATTAGTAAATATTTCATCTACTTTGGGGGGGAAAAAAAAATCAAAAAAAATTTTCTGGTGTTTTTTTTTTTTTTGAGAATATCTGCCCTTTAATTTGCATTTAAAATCTGTTTCTTTAAATACTTCAGTTACAAGTTCTGAATAGTGAAGACAGAGTAGTAGATGCTGCAGGCACTCAGTATTGGCTCCTACCCCTTCCCCCCTCCCCCACCCCCAGGCCTCACTTCTTGGCTCAAGATATAAAAGGGCACTTTCTAATGGCCCCAGTGTCAAAGGTTAGCAGCCTCAGGCCTGGATGCAGTTAGATACAAAGCCATGAATCCCATTAGCTTCCACAAGATACTTGCATTTAACCATACTCCAAGGAAATCCAATGACTGTGCCCAGATCTAAGGGTAGCACACCTTAGAAATGACCTCAACCATTTCACCACAATGTACTAACACCCTCAGGGTGGCTTCCTACCATAGTCCATTGTCCTCCAGATCTGTGTCCTGCAGAGGAAGAGACAAGGCCCCGCTATAACGCAGGAAGGAACAAGAACTGCCTCCTCAGCTCACGTGCTTACACCAACTTAATTGAAAAGCTGAAGTCAATTTGAGGCAGTCTAAAGGAGACCTCCCTTCCCTAGTCTCTACCAGGCTCTGGCCCTTCCTCGGCACCATGATTGGTCCCACTGCCATCATGTGGTAGAATCTGCTCTAAATAAGAACAAGGTACTGGAATGAGGCCCAGAAACCAGGAAAGGGTTTAGAAAGGGTTACTACAACCCCAGCTGTGAGAGACTCAGATCTTGGTGTGAGCCTGTGATGGACAGCGTGAGGGCAGGTCTGGGATCTCCTTGCATGAGGATTACATGTGACCTCAGGGGACCTCTGCCCTCTTCTCCCACTCACCCACCGAGATCCCCTGGCCTGTGCTTCCTGGAAGAGGTAGAAGAGGCATCTTGAAGTCAATGACAACAGAGAATGAAGGTGTCATTTAAGAAACAAAGCAGCACCTCTGCCTGTGTTCAATCTCTCCACACAGGTGGAATCAAGTGAGAATGTGCACACCCAGGACAGAGGCTGCTCTGAGCTTGAGAGGCACAGCATCCTCCTAGTCGTCTCTGTAGAACAGACTTTCTGAAGACAGAAACTTAATCCTGTGGTCCCCAGGGGTTTCTCTATAGTATACTGGCACTAGGGAGAAGGAAAATCATCTTTGCAGAGGGCTGATGGAAGAAAGGCAGGAATATTAATGAGCATCCATTAAGGCTCTCTCTCTCAAGCCTAAGGAATTAAGATATTCAAGGGTGTGAGACAGGTGCAAAGAGGGAGAGAGCCTGGCAGGAACACCAAGAAAAGACCTGTGACTGCTGGTTACATAGTGCTCTCCTTCCTTGCTTGAGGCCAACGGCATGTGCCTGCCTGTCACCAGGCTAACTTGGGACCCATGAGGGGGCAGGGTTAAGACTGGTTTTCAGTTCCTGCATGATTTGTTGGGTGTGTGCCTTCCTCCTAAAGATCCAGGAGGAGGACTCTGGGATCCTCTATAGCCGCCTTGATTTTGCGGAGGAAAGTCACAGCCTCTCTGCCGTCAATCAGCCGGTGATCGTAGGTCAGTGCCACGTACATCATGGGCCGCACCTCCACCTTGCCTCCTATAGCCACAGGCCTGTCAAACATGGCATGCATGCCCAGGATGGCAGACTGAGGGGGGTTGATTATGGGCATTCCAAAGAGGGAGCCAAAAACTCCTCCATTGCTAATGGTGAAGGTACCACCATCCATATCTTCAATGGCAAGTTCATTCTTTCGGGCCTTCTCTCCCAGTTCAGTGATGGTCCGTTCAATATCTGCATAATTCATAGCTTCCACATTCCTAATGACTGGAACCACCAGACCCCGTGGGGTGGCCACTGCAACACTGATGTCAATATAATCCCTGTACACCACCTCTTTGGTTGTATTGTCAATCACTGCATTTACAACAGGCTGTTCCTGCAAGGCAAAGGCTGAGGCCTTCACAAATGCCGACATGAAGCCTAGTTTGAGGTTATGTTTCTTCAAAAAGGCCTCTTTGTGCCGAGCCCTCATCTCCTGGATGTTACTCATGTCAATCTCATTAAAAGTTGTCAGCATTGCACATGTATTCTGGGCCTCCTTCAGACGCTGAGCGATGCGCTGCCGCATCCTGTTCATTTTCTCCCGATGTTCTGAACGCAGACCACCTTTGCCAGCTTCTGGCTCAGCTAGTGGAGGGGCAGCAGTGGGTTTTACTGCAGACACAGGTTTGCTAGAAAGAGGTAGTGAGGGCGAGGGCACTGGTGGCATCTGAGTGGGTATGGGTACTGCAGGGGGAGGAGGAACTGCCGCTGCTGTAGGCTCTGCTTTTGGGGCTGCAGCAGCAGGAGCTTCAGCTGGTTTGGCCTTAGCAGGAGCAGCACCAGTTTTCCTGAGTGTGAAAAGCGGAGTGCCTCCTTCGACTTTTCCCCCATCAGGTACCAAAAGAGCTTCAATCACGCCATTTGCTGGTGATGGAACCTGCACAGATGTCTTGTCAGTTTCAATCTCACAAACCACTTCATCTTCCGCAACTGTGTCTCCAACAGTTTTTTCCCACCTGACATTCCCCTCTGTAACAGATTCTGCAAATGCTGGGGTTTTGACTGTAACCAAATCACCCTTGCACACAGCCGTAGTTCTGAAGAAGCGAACACTGAAGACACTACTGTTGTTAATGACAACCTTCCTGCTGTTAGGGTAACCTGGTCCCTGGCATAAGGAGACCCCGGGCAGGGAATGTCTCCCTAGAGGGCAGTTCCCCTTCTGGAAGGCGGAGAGCGAGCGGCTAAATGCCCAGGACAACAGCGGGACCGGGACAGCATCGTGGTTGTGGAGCCGAGGGCGGGCGGACCTCGACTAACTTTTCTTTGATTGAACACTGTCCCTAGAAACTTAAGACTTTTAATTGTTATTTAAAATACCTCACAACTGTTAGCTAGGCTATCCTGAAGTCTTTAAAGCCATTTTTTTAAATAAAGCAAAAATAAAATAAAATAAAAACAACCAAGGCCTAAAAGTAAAAAGCAAAATGAAATAAATGAATCTAACTAAATAGAGTGCTGGTGGTTTAACCACATAAAGAGAAATTTCAAGTGACTTTAAAATTCTGTCATTTATATATACATATTTGGAAATAAAATACAGAAAAAAGAACTGCAAACATCTTAAACCTTTTGCAATAACCATATTGTTAGTAATATTATTTTTATCATTAATTTGAAACTATAAGATGAATGTATTAATTTTATTAATATAATTAAAACTAGATTTTAAGCATAAGACAAAAGAGATACAAATATAAAAATCAAAGAAAGAAAAACACTTGTAACCATAAATTTTAATTAGAAATGTCAGCATGGACTAATGATGTATTTCCTCTTTGAAAAATGTTCTAGAAAAGGCCTAGAATCGAAGGCAAAACCAGTATAACTCAACACTTCTACTATAAAGACTGTGATCTCTAAATAACATTTCCCATTAAAAGAAATCAGGGGTCCTTGAAAAAATGGATAACGTCAGGTTTGGGACAGGAAATATCCTAGATGATCTTGAAACATCTTGTCATACTAGGTTTGTACTGTGATGTATTTAAAATTCTTTATTATGTGTTTCTATTGCAACTTGCATTCTCCTATATTCTGCTACAGTGATTCTGATATATTTAGGTGTTAGCTGTGTCATCTGATACAAAGATACTAAAAAATATTATAACTTCAATGTGAACTATGGCTTTAACCATTATAAGCACCATTAGGAGCACCTCAGAACTGCAGCTCCAGTGAAAGCATGAAGGGTGAGTGGACGCTGCATTTCCAGACAGGTTTTAACTGCCCACAGACCAGGAGATCCCCAGGTAGAGGAGCCCCACAGGTCGCCGGTGCAGCTGTTTTGGCTGGTGCCCCGGCACGGCAGGTCTCTGTACAAAATACACTGGTCCGGGCGCTGTTTTAGCTGGCGACTGGAGCTCCTGGGAGACAGAGTCGCCCATTCAACTGATAAAAAAGGGGACTAAAACAGGGAGCCAGGCAAGGAGATTCCCGGACAAAAAAGCACCATGAACCTCAGGGCGGCCGTTTCAACCAGTGCAGACAGTTGCCGCACGGGAAATCACACAGATCCTGGCACCTTTTCAACAGGTGACTGGAAAAACTGGGAGACAGAGTGGCCCCTTGAACTGAAAAAAAAAAAAAAAAAAGAAAAAAAAAAAAGAAAAAAAAAGGGTATGAGGCAGGGAGCCAGGTGATCAGGCTTGGCGGGTCCCACACCCACAAAAACAAAACAAAACAAAACAAAAAAACCCCTAAAAAACATCAATCTGAAATGCTCTGGGTTGAGAGTTTCACAGCAAGCACAGCTGAACCCAGAATGGTCCAACTCTGTGGGGGAGGGGCGTCTGCCACTACTGAGGCAGTCCACCACTACAGAGGTAGTTCACTATTGCCAAGGCAGCCCGCCATTACAGACAAAGTCTGCCATTACAGAGGTGGGCTGCCATTGCTGAGGCAGTTCTAACTATACCCACATAAACGGGACGCAGGGAAGTTTACACCGCAGCTGGGCAGAGCCCACAGCAGCTCAGCAAAGCCTCTGCAGGCAGACAGTGACTAGGCTGCCTCCTCACTAGGCAGGGAAGCCCTGAAAAAAGGCAGCAGCAAGACAGAAACTTATAAATAAAGCCTTAACTCCCCAGAACAGAACACCTGGGGGAAAAAAGGGGGGTTTATAAGTTCCGCTGCAGCAGACTTGAACGTACGTGCCCAACAGGTCTGAATGAAGAACGGAGCTCACAGCTCAGCACTTGAGCTCCCATAAAGGACAGACAGTCTCCTCAAGCAGCTCCCTGACCCCCGTATATCCACAGAGTCACCTCATAAAGGAGAGGTCAGACTGACGTCAGGTGGGTATCCTTCTGAGACAAAGATAACAGAAGAAACTGGCAGCAACACTTACTGTTCTGCAGTTGCTGCAGGAGATCCCCAGGCAAGCAGGGCCTGGAGTGGACCTCAGCAGTCCTATAGCAGAGGGGCCTGAATGTTAGAAGGAAAACAAAGAAACAGAAAGAAATAACTTCATCATCAACAAACTGGATGTCCACTCACAGACCCAAACTGAAAGCCAACAACTAAAAAGACGACAGGTGGATAAATCCACAAAGATGGGAAGAAACCAGTGGAAAAAGGATGAAAACACCTGAAACCAGAATGCCTCTCCTCCTACAAGGGATCACAACTCCTCACCAGCAAGGGAACAAGGCTGTATAGAGAATGAGTGTGATGAATTGACGGAATCAGGCTTCAGAAGGTGGGTAACAAGAAACTTTGCTGAGCTAAAAGAACATGTTCTAACCCAATGCAAATAAACTAAGAACTTGAAAAAAGACTTGATGAAACGCTAACGAGAATAAACAGAGAGGAATATAAGTGAATTGATGGAGCTGAAAAACACAACACAAGAACTTTGCGAAGCATACACAAGTTTCATCAGCCGAATTGAACAAGCAGAAGAAGGGATATCAGAGGTTGAAGATCAACTCAATGAAATAAAACAAGAAGGCAAGATTAGAGAAAAAAGGGTAAAAAGGAATGAACAAAGTCTCCAAGAAATACGGGACTATGTGAAAAGACCTAATCTACCTTTGATAGGTGTACCTGAATGTGACAGAGAGAATGAATCCAAGCTGGAGAATACTCTTCAGAATATCATCCAGGAAAACTTCCCCAACCTAGCAATACAGGCCAATATTCAAGTCCACGAAATACAGAGAATGCCACAAAGATACTCCTGAAGAACAACAACCCCAAGGCACATAATCATCAGATTCACCAGGGTTGAAAGGAAAGAGAAAATGTTAAGGACAGCCAGAGAGAAAGGTCGGGTGACCCACAAAGGGAAGCCCATCAGACTCACAGCAGATCTCTCAGCAGAAACCCTACAAGCCAGAAGAGAGTGGGGGCCAATATTCAACATCCTTAAAGAAAAGAACTTTCAACCCAGAATTTTATATCTAGCCAACTAAGCTTCCTAACTGAAAGAGAAATAAAATCCTTAATGAACAAGCAATTACTACGAGATTTCATCATCACCTGGCCTACTTACAAGAGCTCCTGAAAGAAGCACTAAACATAGAAAGGAACAACCAGTACCAGCCACTCCAGAAACATACCAAACGGTAAAGAGCATCGACACGATGAAGAATTACATCAACTAATGAGCAAAACAGGTAGCTAGCATCAAAATGGCAGGATCAAATTCACACATAACAATATTAACCCTAAATGTAAACGGGCTAAATGCCCCAATCAAAAGACACAGACTGGCAAACTGGATGAAAAGCCAAAACCCATCTGTGTGCTGTATCCAGGAAACCCACCTCACATGCAAGGATACATAAAGGCTCAAAATAAAAGGATGGAGGAAGATTTACCAAGCAAATGGAGAACAAAAAAAAAAAAGCTGAAGTTGCAATTTTCGTCTCTGACAAAACAGACATTAAACAAACAAAGATCAAAAAGAGACAAAGGGCCGGGCGCGGTGGCTCAAGCCTGTAATCCCAGCACTTTGGGAGGCCGAGGCGGGTGGATCACGAGGTCAAGAGATCGAGACCATCCTGGTCAACATGGTGAAACCCCATCTCTACTAAAAATACAAAACATTAGCTGGGCATGGTGGTGCGTGCCTGTAATCCCAGCTACTCAGGAGGCTGAGGCAGGAGAATTGCCTGAACCCAGGAGGCGGAGGTTGCGGTGAGCCGAGATCGCGCCATTGCACTCCAGCCTGGGTAACATAAGTGAAACTCCGTCTCAAAAAAAAAAAAAAAAAAAAAGAGACAAAGAAGGACATTACATAATGGTAAATGGATCAATGCAACAAGAAGAACTAACCATCCAAAATATATACGCACTTGACAAAGGAGCACCCAGATACATAAAGCAAGTTCTTAATGACTTACAAAGAGACTCCCACACAATAATAGTGGGAGACTTTAACACCCCATTGTCAATATTAGACAGACCAGCCAGACAGAAAATTAACAAGGATATCCAGGACTTGAACTCAAGCCTGGACCAAGCAAACTTAATAGACATTTACAGAACTGTCCACTCCAAATCCACAGAATATACATTCTTCTCAGCACCACATCACACCTACTCTAAAATTGACCACATAATTGAAAGTAAATCTCTCCTCAGCAAATGCAAAAGAATGAAAATAATAACAAACGGTCTCTCAGACCACAGTGCAATCAAGTTACAACTCAGAATTCAGAAACTAACTCAGACCTGCACAGCTTCATGGAAACTGAACAACTGGCTCTTGAATGTTGACTGGATAAACAGTGAAATGAAGGCAGAAATAAAGATGTTCTTCGAAACCAACGAGAACGAAGATACAACTTACCAGAATCTCTGGGACACATTTAAAGCAGTGTCTAGAGGAAAATATATAGCAATAAATGCCCCCATGAGAAGCAAGGAAAGATCTAAAATTGACACCCTATCGTTAAAATTGAAAGAGCTAGAGGAGCAAGATCAAAAAAACTCAAAACCTAGCAGCAGACAAGAAATAACTAAGATCAGAGCAGAACTGAAGGAGATAGAGACACAAAAAAATGCTTCAAAAAATCAGTAAATCCAGGAGCTGGTTTTTCAAAAAGATCAACAAAATAGACCACTAGCCAGGTTAATAAAAAAGAAAAGAGAATAATCAAATAGATGCAATAAAAACAATAAAGAGGATATCACCACAGATTCCACTGAAATACAAACCATCATCATAGATTATTGCAAACAACTCTATGCACATAAACTAGTAAACCTGGAAGAAATGGATAAATTCC